AGAAAAACAATTCTAATAGAAAGTATCCTCCTCAAGAAAGGTATAAATTCTCAAATTAGAAATTGACAATGTCGTTGTTAGGAAGCAAACATGAAACTATCTTAAGCCTCTCTGCGTGTAAATTGTAATTGGAGAAAAGCAATAGAGGGGGATGATGCCAGAGTAGATAAATGAAACACGTATGTACCATACTTGAAACTTATCAACAACACTCATAGACAAGTTATACATGGCTATTCAAGAAGTTTCAAGAGGGAGGGGAGGGGAGGGGAGGAAGTTACATGTCGACTATATGAAGCTCTCTTTGCCAATCTGTTCGGCTCGTATCCATCTATTCGATGTAATACAATTAGAACACTCTTTATCATGCTATTTTCCTACATTACAATATTTCAACCCATGCCTAATGTCAGGAACGCATTAGTTCCTAAAGCCAAAAGAGAAAGTGGTCAGTTTGTCAACTACTCGACCATACATTGAAGAGTACTGTAGCACAGGAAATGATGAAAGAATCTGGAAAAAAAAAGTTCGTCAAGGAAAGTGTCAGATAAAATGCAGATAAATCTGAGGTATTGAAGAAGGATTTTTTTCTATCCACTCAAGGTTAATTTTCAATACAATTGATGAGAAATCAATACACCTATTTAAACTAGAAAAACAGATACTTACAATACATACATACTCTAACAGCTTCACAGAGAAATTACAGAATACACATCATTTGGGGAGACCCCTAAAATCAAGGATTACTAGAGGTGTGAAGTGTGAGGCCGTTGGTAAAGCTGCAGCAATGGTTTCTCTCTCTTCAATTTCTGGTAAGTGAAAAACGTGATTCCCAGAGATTACGTTTTTCCTTTTATTAGGTATTACGTTTTTCTCTTCCCTTTTACAAGTTAGTTCTTTGGCCCTTCTCTTCTAATCAGGTACATTTTGGTCCTCAGATTTATCTTCTCTGACAGCCCCCTTCAAGCTGGAGATTACTTCTGTAGCTCCAAGCTTGCTGCGTAGATATAAATGTCTGAAGTTCAACAGCAGTTTAGTCAGGATATCGACAATCTGATCTGCAGTCGAAACATAACTAATTGTGAGTTGTTTAGCTAGTACTTTGTCCCGAACGAAATGCACATCAAGCTCAATATGCTTGGTTCGTGCATGATAAACCGGATTTGATGCAAGANCTTAACATAATAATAAAATTTTAATATTAATAATAAAATATATAGTTATACATAAATATACACCTATAACAAATTTTTTTATGACTTTACAATGTTGAGGTCTTTTGCGATCACTTAACTCGCACACCTTCAACGTTACCTCTGCTCTCGGATAACGTGTCCTTTCTTAAGCTTCAGAGATTAGAAGCTCGATGTCATCTAGGATGAGGAAGGTCTTATGTGTTTAGATGTTCCTCCATCATATCTGATTGCGCCTCTACAGCCCTCACCAGACCCCAACAAGATAATCGCCAGCATCTGCCACATTAGCCCCACCAGCTAACACTATGGCCAACTCCAATCCTATTATCACCTCTACCCTTTAGATGGCCCTCACGTCTGACATGTTTATAAAACACCGCCTCTTTTTTAGAAGCTTTACACTTTAATACTTTTCAAGATTTGGCTTGATCTAGGCTCGAGGATTTGATGTCATTTAGGGTTGGAGGTGTTTTTTGAAGAAAAGGTACTAACAAAAAGTAGAAATTGGAATTCAAAAACTGAGTGATAAGTGTAGTTTCTACACTTATTCGGGGTCCTAAATGATGATATTTTGTTATTATTTGAACGGACTAGTGCCTAATTTGTTATTTATGCTTTTATTAGGAAAAACGCATATTTGGATGAAGAATTGGAAGAAAAAAATGAAAAAGGCCTAAAATAAAGCAAACCCAAAGTTCGAAAACTAAAGTGCAAATAATCAAAAGTTGTGACGGACCTTACGATGAAGATTCGAGAGTACTATGTGTCAATTGGATGAAAAAAGAAGTCAAATGTACGAAATATAGTCAAAATATTATCAAACATCAATATTCAGCCGAAAGAGTTATGCTCTAAATTTTCGATCCTAGATTGCAACCCATTTTTGGCATAGCAAACGTTCAAATGGGATAAATGTTATTACTAGAAAATTTGTATCTCTTTGAATTAATTTTTCAACGCACTTTAAATCACCTCAATCGAATATCGAAAAAGAAAGTTGAGAGGAATACTGAAAGCTGCTCGAGACAAGCCTAGGAGTGCACATAGGTCTGCAGAGGAGGCACATGCCTCCTCCTTTTCTGAGACGCCTAAGGTTCCCTAAAGGGTTCGGGCACGTGCCTCAGTATAAAATGGGAAAAAAATCCAATTTTTCTTATTTTTGTTTTGATAAAAATTCAATACAATCTTTTGGGCATCCTTTAAATGTCAAAACTCAACCAAAACGTAATAAACCTCTATTCGACCTAAATTTCATCATATTCTACATATTTTGGAGGTGAAGAACAAATCTACAGATCATTTTAAAGCGAAATATACAAGGATTTTGAAAATCCATTGTCCGGTTTCAAGATTTGAGCCAAGAACGTGGATTTCTCATATTTCTTCCATCTTTCTTATTTTCGGGTATTTTTTTCAATTATTCTTGTTTAATTTAATTATAAGATAAATCATGTAAATCAATGCATGTTTTTCATATGAATTCGGACTAAGAATATGGTTGGGTCATGTTAAACATATGTTTAATATATTTTGAAAAAAAACATTGAATAAAAATGAATTATCGATTGTTTTGAATACATGAATTTATTAGATTATGAATTAAGAATTGAACTGAAAGGCAATAGGGGGATTCAAGATTTCAATACAAATATGCACATATGAGATAAATACTTTGTTTATTTTCTTAGTTTATGATTAGTATAAATAACAATAAAATCATATCTTTTGGGTCACAAACATCGAATTTATTATTAACTAGTGAACTAGGATCAAATA